GAGTAACTTTTGGTCTAAAAAAACAGTATTCAATCCTTAATTTCCTTATAGCTTAGAATAATTAGAATTATAAAAATGGCTATACCTTTGGGATACTTTTCTGTTGTTTTACATTATTTAGAAAAAGCAATTCATATGGTGTTTTTGATGATTAATACATTTTCTGTGGTTTTTAATGTGAAAAATAGGCAGCTTGAGTGTGACCTTGGGCAGTTGTGTTTTTTGTGTGTGTGGTGGTGTTTTGTTTTTATTGTCTGCACCATGTTTTTAAAAGTATTTTAGGTATCCAGTTACAGCATCTGACTTGATCTTTGAGTTTCTAAAATAATTCTAAAAGTAGAAGCTTTAAAAAGGACTGTGACTATTCTGTACATTTTAGACTTAATCAGTGATAACATGTCAATTATGTCAGTAAAACTGGGGGAAATGGACTATAAAACTTGGAACTAAACTGCACTTTAGTATTTATTTGGTTTTCATTTTTTCACTTGTGATCGATCACTGTATATAAAATACAATATTTCTATGTAATTTCTTGATGATATTTTTAAAAACAAAATGTTTCTTTTAGCAGTTAGCATTTTTTAATGGCCCTTCTTGAAAAGTATAAGGAAAGTGAAAGGTGAATAATCCATAGTAACCCTTTGTGTGAATAAATGCACTCATAAGTAATCTGCACATGAGCATTTCATTTGGGTTGAAATTGGGTATATGTTTTTTAAGTAGCCAAGCTGTTCTTCTCTGAAGATAGATAAGAGAGCCTCAGTGTTTGGATGTCTTCAGGTTCAGTGTATCCTTTTTCAAACTGGTTGTTTCTTTTTTCTTTTAAGAGCATGTACATAAAATAGAGGTTTCCTCATCAGTTGAATAGTTTATATTTAATATTCACTAAAACCAAAGGAAACTAATTTCCATTACCAAGAATTTATCTTTTTAAATAAGTTCAGCTTTTAGTTCTTTTAGTAGCACATTGTGTGATAGCACTCTAACATACATAGAGATATCAGCAGACTTTTCCATTTAGTTTAGATTACATTGTACTGTTAATTCTCAGATTTTAGGGCCTTATGGCATGAGAGAAAATACGCTTTGGAATTAGAAAATCTAACACAGTTTGGACATCCATTACCATTTACTAGTCATGCGATTCTTATTTACCTTCTCTATTAAGTAATTGTTGTTAAATATGTTTGTAGAGGGACTGTTGCTGGTCATGGCAGCACTGGAAAGTGGCCAGGGTTATATTTAGTATAGATTTTTCCTATACCTTACAATATTTATTGGTTCATTTCTTATATGATAATAGCACTGTAAGTTATTCTGTGTCTTACCACTGTAGCTGTTTTATAGCTAAGATTCTGTATGATCAAATGTGGTAACATTTACTTGCTACCTTTACCTCTGTTCTTGCTGCCTGTTTTTCTGTTTCTGACTCTTGAACAGACCTCAAGTATGTAAAAGTCTAGAAGATACTGCTGCTGATTCTTTTTTTTTTTTATTTCATAGTGGGTAGAGTCTTTATAAGAAATTTTAAACAAAAGGCAGAAAACTATATTAAAAATAGATCCTTTGGATTCAATTTTTTTTAGCAGTAATAAAAGAGGGCAAATTGGGAAAAATACTACCTTATTCTTTTGTTAGCAGTTAGGACTGGGTTATACCAATCAATACTTTACCTTTTCTCTTTTATAGTCTAACAAAGTATATTCTGAACTTTTGACAAGAAAAAAATATCTGTACAGACAATTCAAGTTTTTTCTTGTCATTCATTTTACTGATTAGTCTTAATGTAGATTAAAAGAAGCACTGACCTGATGTCAGCTAAAGCCCCAACTTGGCTTTTCCTTTTTATCCAATTTTACTTCTAAAATATTGACCCAAAATGTTATCAAGTAAAATAAGTGGGTATTTTATCACTAGTAATGAAATAAGCAAGAAATGAGGGGGTGGGGTTAGGGGATGGGAGGAGATGCCTAGGGGAGAAAAGGAGGACCAAATGAACATTAATAATTTATAAATTGAATAATCACCCCTATAATGGAACATTGGCTGTGTCATGCAGCCCACAGACAAGATATTTGCAGAAGTTAATGGTGACCTTTAACATTGAAGAGCCTGTGAGAGAGGTGTTGATTGTCCATAGTGTAGTACTCTCTGGGACTCTCTTAGTCCTCACCTACTTAGTGCTGGAGAGTTGTGAAGAATTACATGGCTGTGTACAAAAAACAGCAAGCAGTTTAAAAAATACAAATAATAATGGTTTTAAGTGTGGACTTTATCCTTTTTGAAAAAAATATAGTATTTCAGTATTGTTTTAAGGTAAAATCTTCAAATATAAGCAAGTTCTAGTCTTTGTTCTTGGGTCATTCACTGGTAATTTCCTCTAATTTTGTTACTAGAACAGATCCTGGCTGGACCTTTGTCTGAATTTTACTTTAAAAAAACTGGTCAGAGAGCCCCCTCTAGTGTCTGAAATACCCACTTTTTAAAACATGTCAATCATAAGAAGTTTTAAGAATTAAAACCATTTTTTCCTTTAACATCTGGATGTAATTTTTTTTTATTTTCTTTGGGGAGGAGATGGGGGGGTTATTTTCCTTTTTTAAAAAGGTCACTGGAATTATGGGAAGAGTGTGGACTGAGGGCAGCAGGAAACATGGGAAAGAAAGTATCAAAATGCTATTTCTACCTTTTTAGAAAGTTATTTATAAGTGACCTGGAATAAGTCCAAACTATACAGTGTTTATTTTAGCTTTCATTTGTTTCTGAATTAAGTGCATCTTAAAAATACTTTGTTTTGGAATTCTTTATGACATCAAATCTCATCTTAAGAGAATTCTTTCCAGTTTCTGAAAGGGACGACTTCATTGGAAAATGGCTTTAAAATAGAGCCCAATTCTCTTCATGAAAATGTAACTTTGTTATTTTTGTTGTCATTATCATTGCCTTATCATTCTGTAGATACTCTATCTCATAAGTGGTAAATTGTTATTTTACAGTTCCCTTTGTTTTCAAGCAAGGAAATAAGATTCTTAAATTATTGGCTCTCTGCCACCTCTTCTAAACACACAGCCCTAAACCACACAGGCTTCCACTAAGAGTCTTGTGAAGGGTTATAGAAACAGGACCTTTCTCATTTGACCCATGGGCTTTTGTAACTTGAACAAGGAAAGTAGTGTTCTCAAAACTACAGCATTTATGAAAGCCCTGGTAAAAATATTTCATGTACATGAACTAGAGATTAACCCCTTTCATCTTGTTCTCCAACAAATTAAACAACGCAAACAGATTTCAAGTGCACTCTTGGTAATGAAATGCTTGGGTGAGTTATAATCCTAATTGCCATATTGTTCATTGTCACAGCTGCATTTTGACACTTGTGAGTGTTTAAACTATGCATTTGAACCACTAGGATAAGCAAAAACATTCTGAAATTCATCATTTTGTGGCATCTTAAATTGTAAATCTGTCATTGGTGCCTTTATTTTATTTTGTTTCCACTGTTGACAAATCAGAAAAAAAGTCATTATTTACATACTTCTATTAAAAGTCATTGAGTTTTTATGAAAATTCATTGTCATAAACTTTAGAGTCAAACTAGTTGATATTTTAGAAGACAGCTTTCCCCCAGTATTAGAAAGAAACAGGGTTTCACTTTTTCCTTCAGTTAAACATATTTTGAATGTAACTCTAAAGACCGGATTTATTCTGTGATTTGCCAAGTGACTTTCATATGCATAATGTTCCTTTAACATTAGATACAAAATTATTTATTAATCTCTTCCTAAAAGAAGAAATAATAGTGTTTAGATATAAACCTGAAGTTTCTTTGTATTTGAGTGAGAAATATGTCAATTTTAACCAAACCTTCCCTTTTTAAAAAAATTGAACTTTTTGATGACTAGATTATATGACAAAAGTGCATTTGTAATTCTGATTTTTCACTATTTCTCAGACTTAATCTTAAATGGAAGATTTGAATTACCATATTCATAGGCATTGTTTATTGATACCAGTTGTTCAATAATAATTGGAGCTTTGGATTTCAAGTGACTACTACTATAGTAATCACATTTTCAGAGTGTTTTTTATTAATACCAATGTCTTTGAATTTTTAAGTTCATATAACCAAGAGAGTTTCTATTTTAACAACCAAATACTTTTCTATCTCATGTCTTAATTTTAAGGAACTTTTTCAAAGTTAGTTCTCATAAAATATTATTTAATATGTTTAAATTCTAAGGTGTACATTCTAGGTGATTATTATCACTAATGATAAAAAGCAAACCTTTTTTGAACACTTTCTATATGTCAGGAACTAAGTACAGTTTAATATGCCGCCCTTCTTCCTGTTTTACACTTAGGAAAATGAGATTAGAGATTTTAATCACAATTTCCTGATGAAATACTATGTAGTCACAAAAAATGAGGGTTGCAGTGAATATAATGACATGGAAAACCTTTATTACAGGAAAAATTAAAGGACTATAGTTAAATGTTCACAGTAGTTCTAAACATTTTTAGAGTATCATCTTTGATTTGTTAATATTTTTTAACATAGTATTAATGTTTAGCTTTCATGTAATTTTGCTAATTTATAGATCTTTATGAGCAGGAAACATGAGACTGCATGTAAACAAGATCTGGTTGGGAAACAGATGACTTACTTTTATAATAGACTCTAGTATATTCAGTTTCTTTTTAAATTTGACCCATAGCCCTTTTTTTTTTTTTTTTTTGTAGATTTATGCCAGCTCTAATGTAATCTCTCATCTTTGTTCTTGAAGGCTAATAGAATAGTTAAAAATCTTCTTAAAGATAACGTAAATGTGTTAGAGTGTCCTCAGGGTAGCTTGTGCACAAAAGATGTTTTCTTTCCCACCCTGTAGAGTTATCTCATTAGGGCACCCAGTAGTGTCATTATTAAGTTTTCATGTGTTTCTCAGTTTTGATTCTAATCTCTGTGCGTATGTGCATGCATGCATTTTTTTTCTCTGCAGCACCAATGTGGTTATGAATTATTCAGAGATTGAGTCTAAGGTTCGAGAAGCAACGAATGATGATCCTTGGGGACCTTCTGGGCAACTCATGGGAGAGATTGCCAAGTAAGTGATAATTTGACTCAGCAGTGCAGAAAGAATCCAAGTATCTTTACACAGAAAAGTAAAATTTGTTTATAGTTTCAAACTATTTAGCTGCCAGATAAAATTTTACATAATCATTCTTATAATAACAGAGTAAATTTTATGTAGGTTCCATTCCCCTTAAAAATGAGCTCAAATGATAAAACAAAAATTTTCTTTTAATGTAGTTTAGAGACTTACTGTAACTTACCATGAAAAGTTTTGATAAATGTGTATAAAATAACTTGAAATAAAGTTATAAAAATTTTTCCTGATGAACATCTGGACCAATGCCAGTGAATGAAGGACTTGTAAAGTGTGATATTAATTAGTGGGGTTTATGAATGTGCTAGTTATTATACAAAATATAAGAAAAACATTTAAGGAAGCATTCTAAATTTTTTGAATTAAGCTAAGCTTGTTAATTTTTTAAGGTCCTTGATAAAACAGTAACTTGGAACAAGCCTGCCATCTACTGTTAAAATTTACATACTGCAAACTCTTAAGAAAATTATTTTCTTTTTAGAGCTACATTTATGTATGAACAATTTCCAGAACTTATGAACATGCTTTGGTCACGAATGTTAAAAGACAACAAGAAGAATTGGAGAAGAGTTTATAAGGTGTGGACATTTTAATAGTTTTGTTTGTTTGTTTTAATTTGACATGTTAAAAACAAAATGCTTGAAATTTTAAGGTGTACATATTAAGTGATTTTTGAAGGACATTAAATTCTAGAACAAAATGTTCTAAAAGAGGTAGATTAAAAGAAAGTAAAAGTAGTAGATTTTGTATTTGGATTGTTGATTTCTAGTCATTAAAAATACTCTTAATGAAAAATGTTTAAAATCAACAATAGTACTTATAAATGTTTAAAAGTAAATGTCGATATTTCTTGAGTATTTTCTTACTAAAAATGTATGAAGAAAATATGTTCATGTTTATAGTGTCTGAGAAATTAAGATGAAAGCCAGTCTATTATGATTTGTCATCTCAACATAAAAATTTGTCCAATTTGTAATGATATTTTATATCAAAAATTGTACCAAAATGTGAGTACAATTAAAGATTCTAAAAATGTTAGCATTTTTAATTTACAAATATGTACTTTCAGATTCCTTTTATTTAGTTCTTACTTGTCATGTAATGTAGGATTCTGAAACATAATAATCATTTGTTCTTCTGTCCCCACCATATTTTCTTGCTACTTGGAATAGTTTTTATGCTTTCTAAAACTTCATATAACATCTATATTTGAAACTTTGAAAGCAGAATTTATGAATTTCATGAGTAAAAGCCAATACTTTATTAGTCCCAAGTTTTTTATAGTATTTGTTTGCTTCAGAAATCTTCACTTTTACTCACTCCCCCCCCCCCAATTTATTATACATTAAGGTTTTTGTGTGGTTGTTGTTTGTTTTTAATAAAGTTAAAAGTTAGTTCCTGGATAAACTACTTTTTTTAAAGAATAAATTCCTATTAGGCGCTGAAGTCATTTTGCCTCTCAATTTCATCAACCTCATTAGTTCTTCATCAATTGAATTGTCTTTATCTGAGGTTTGTTCCAAGTCAGATTAGGTTCAGATGCACCTCAGTATTTGTCATGGTACTCCCAAAGTTGTTCCATAGTCACCAGTATCTAATTCCAGGAGGTTTTCACCACCCCAAAAAGAAACTCTGTAAATGTAAAGATTCTTTACTCTTACTTCTTGACAGTATATGTTTAAAATAAAAGTTGTATCATTTAACACCCAAAATTTAATTTTATCTAGGGGGGAATGCCTTGGGATTATATAATTACCAAGTATAATTATTTTCTTTGAACTAACATTTCTAACAATTCATGGTTCCATACAGCCCAGATGAAAAGAGCTGAGCTAGCTTTCTGAAAACTTACTGTACATAGGATATATTCACATATTTTTAAAGTCAGAATTTTAAAAAAATCTTTTGCACATGATATTAATGGAAAGTTTATGATTAATTATCATGCTTGTATGAGAGCAACGTAAAACTGATGATAATTTTAATCTATGCATTTAATGTCATACAAGGTAATGGAAATACTCCCCACACCACCCCCAACCATCCCACACTTGAAGATTATTTATTTCCTAATGTTGGAATTTTTTTTAACTATTTACCAGAGCTATACCAGAATGTATTTCGTTAAATCATTTGGTTCTTTGTATTCTTACAGTCATTGCTGCTCCTAGCTTACCTCATAAGGAATGGATCAGAGCGTGTTGTTACAAGTGCCAGAGAACACATTTATGATTTGCGATCCCTGGAAAATTACCACTTTGTAGGTGAGCAATAGAAAAACCTTATAAGCAAATTAAAACAGTAGTTGGAGTTGTCAGTCACCTGAACCAGCTTAGAAGCTTCTCCGCTCTAATTAGAATGTGACTGTTGCTGGTTGTGTGACGAGTGCAGAATCCAAGACATGGGGCCCTAGAGTATTAATTAGTGAAGACAAGAACTTGCAGAAAAGACTGGCTAATAACAACAGAACCAACACAACATGAGTGTTCGGGTTTATATTAAAATATGCACTGGAGACTGGTCCCCTGTGGTGTCCATAAAGGAATAGCTTTAATCATATGGGAAGAAAAGGTTAGAGCTCCAAAACACACACATCTGTTTGAAGCTGGGTTTTTTTTTCCTCCCACCAAATAATATTTACTGTGCAGAGACAGCAAGGCCAGAGTGTGTTCAGAATGTGAAAGAAAAACTACAGAGTGAGCCACATTCCATTTTGTAGCATGGCCAACTTGAAAGCACCTTAAAAATTCAGTTTTCAGCTACACTCAATCCTGGTAATTAGTGTTTCTAAACTTGCATTGGGGAAACCAAGGAGTTTGGGACTTCTGGTCATTAAAATGTTCAAGTGATTTTTGTTTTGTTAAAATACTATTGGAAAAGAAAATAACATTTATGAATATAACTTCACTTCATGTAGTCATTAGTAATTCTTTGTAAGGCATCTTTAGTCTTACATAACACCATTGTCATTGGTCTTTTGATTCATCTTTGCTTGCTCTTAAGAAGCCAAGATTGTTCCTTAGGACTTGCTGCTGAAAAAAAAAAAAGGACAAGAGCCTCTTCTTATTAATTTTAAAATATTGAAGATTTTTATTTGAAATTTTCTAGTTTTTGTGTTAAAGGGATTGATGAATACTGACTAAATTTGTAAGGTTTATTTCTCCCTTGTCATCCTCACAGATGAGCATGGTAAGGATCAAGGTATAAATATTCGTCAGAAGGTGAAAGAATTGGTTGAGTTTGCCCAGGATGACGACAGGCTTCGTGAAGAGCGAAAGAAAGCAAAGAAGAACAAAGACAAATATGTTGGGGTTTCCTCAGACAGTGTTGGAGGATTCAGATACAGTGAGTATCAAAGCCAGGCAGCACCTCTGAATTAACTTCCTGGATATGTTTTAAGAATCATTGCATACTGAAGACCAAAATGCTATTGTTTTCAGGAATCCATAGAATACTAAAATCCATGCAACACTCATTTTCGCTCTTACTATATTGATCTTGGGAACGTCCTTGTCTTTTTTTTTTTTTTTTTTTTTTAATTTTGTGGGTTCAGGAATATTATTTTAATCACTATTGATTTACATAACTACAAACTTTGAGTTGATGTACAGAGACTTGAAGCATACATTCCCTTCTAGCTTGAGGTTACCATTCTTAAAATTAAAAAAAAAAAAAAACCCAAAAGGCATTTCTTTAGCTTACCCTTTAAATCAGGAAAATAAAACTTCCAATAGGAAATCCATCTTTCTAATTCAAAACCAATGTAGCTCTAATTTTGGCTGAAAATAGATAAACTTCTTATACCTCAGTCCAACATTAAGAGTCCCCCTTTAATTAAGTGGACCATTAACTTGGCACAAAAACAGGACTGACGACACTGTCAGTTTTTCACCTAGGCCTGTAGCTTTATTGTTCCTAACATACTGAAGAACATAAAGAATAGTCATCTCTCCGTTTATTTTTAGTGTAATAATATTTCTATAAAATCGACTGCTAGGTGCAAGAGACATACAGAAATAAGAGTGCTCTTTCCCATGTCCCTTTGGCTCATTCTGTCTTCTCTGAGTCTGACAATCTCTTGACCATTTTCTGAATGTAACAACAGGCCAGTACTATGCATCTTGACAGTTGTTAGGCAAGCTGGCTCTCCAGCCTCCTCATTCAGATATATGTGGATTATATTGCAATCTCATAATTCTTCATTGAAACTGTAAAAATCTCCCAATTCTTATCTTGTGATTATTGATAAAGTAATACCTTCACTTTTGCTCTCTGCTTTCAAAGAAGAATTAATGCACTTAGTTACGGTTGCAGGATATCTCTTAACAGCAGAGAACTCCTTTTATGTCTCAGCATCATTATTCTTGAGTTAGACAAGATTTTTCTTAAACAATGCTTATAGATATCTTTTAGGTTTTTTATTTGTTTAGAGGAGTAAGAAGTTTTTGACTTATTTGTCAAAATGGTTCTTTTATTCTTTGCCTTTTTTCAAAATAGCTATAGCAATTTAGTATGTTTTTTGAGTAGGAATTGCCCTTTGTAACTCAATTCCTCTCTCTACTTCCTTGTAACCCTCTTTTTGCTATTTTTTATTATTTGGAAAACTAAATGCTTTCAGACTCAGTCACAGCAAATTGCAGCATTTATATTAGCAATAAAGTTGAACATCCTGTGTATTTGGATCACTTTTTTATAAATTACTTTTAATGCTGTGTATATTATTAAGACATTTAATCAACTTCAACTTTTTTGTATGTTTTTTTACTTTGACATCATATCGCATCTTTGTTGAGCCCATTTAGTGTGATGTCCACCATCCTGCTTGGTGTAGTTTTCATTTTTCCTGTGAACTTGTTTCTTTTCACAATCTTGTTTATCACATCATTGAGCTTGCATATTTATTGTTGTGAGACACTCTCATAAAGCCATTTTGGTTTAAATTTTGTCTGGCAAGCTTCATTTTATTGTGTTATATTTCAGTTGTTACTCCCTTACAGGTTTAATAGTTATATTTTAAAATCCTTAATTGCTTCTAGAAAATTTTGGGTTGTCAGTTTTGCCAGGGGAGTTCAACAAAATGGCTTTTGATCTTTAAAGTTATATGTGCTATCAGAAAGAACTTATTAACCAAAGTTCAAAACCAATGCTAATTTAGCCACTTATTATTTTGTTATTTATCAATGTCCTTCCCCTTTCTCTTCAACCTGCCAAAATTTTCATTGTTTTCTTTCTTTAACCTCATGTGACTTCTCTGTGCCTTCCTGAAATTTGGGCATGGAAATGGGAAGGTTCCAGTTAGTACCTGTAATTTCTATCTTGCCTTTAAATTCCCAAGATCAGGGGCTAAAACTTTGATACTTTAGGGGTTTACTCCCATGACCTGTTCACTTTATTTCCAGATTCACACAGAAACTCCCTACATCTTGTCAGTCCCACATGTTTGAATACATCATTGCTGTTCTCCAGTGTTGTGCATATGTCATGATTCTTGTGTGTGCAAGTCTTAATAGATAGAATATGCTTCCCTTGTAACAGTAATTAAATGATTCTTTCCCATGCTGTGATACTCATTGAGTTATTATTCAAGTTTGATACTAGACAGACAGAGTCTTTAACAATATATTAGGGCTTCCAGCACTCAAAGTGGTGTGTCTTTTAGTTTTTGTTTCTTATGAGTGTTTTGCTACCCAATACTTTCCTAATAATTGAAAAAACATTAAACAGGAAAGAAATATATAAGGTACTAAATGACTTTTGTAAAAACAAAAAGATTTAATTTCTCTTGTTTAGACTGCTTGTGTTGGTTTTCATGTTTTCCTCTCCTCTTTTCAACAGTCTTATTTTAAGAACTTACCAATTTGCTGTGCTATGCATTAAGGTTATATAAGTTATCATAAACAAAAGCTTTTGAATCTGCATTCCTGCCACTTAATGACTGGCACTACATGCTGTGCCTCGCTGTAATTGTGTTGATTCAGCACTGTGGGAGCTTTCTGTTTTCCTTTGAAAACTATTTTATTATGAGGGAACGCCTCAGAAATAAGGACTGGAGACACCTTTTGAATTTAATACCCTTAGAGTTCTCTTTTTAATGCTTTATGTAGGTGAAAGATATGATCCTGAACCCAAATCAAAATGGGATGAGGAGTGGGATAAAAACAAGAGTGCTTTTCCATTCAGTGATAAATTAGGTGAACTGAGTGATAAAATTGGAAGCACAATTGATGACACCATCAGCAAGTTCCGGAGGAAAGACAGAGAAGACTCTCCAGAAAGATGCAGGTATTAATACTTGGTCTCTTGGAAAGGGTACTAAATTTATGCAACTGGGTTTTTTGGTATTGAGCATTAGCATTATCTGAAATGAAATTCAGCTCTTCTTTAAAAATACATTTTATTATTTTAGAGTGATTTAGTTTCACAGGAAAATTGTGCATGACATACATAAAGTACAGTATCATACAACACCATCCATTCACATACTCACAGGGTTTACCCTGTTACCATGCATTGTTTGGTATACTTCACTAAAAATTGACAAGTATTGAGACACTGTTAGTGTCTAGAGTCTCGTAGCATTTGGGTTCACTGTGTAGAGCAGTTGATAAATGCACACTAGTCACCATTGCAAAATTGTGCAGAATAGTTTCTCTGCCCTAAAAATGCTCTATGCAGAAATCTGTAAATTGGCATGTCACCCTGGCATGGGGAATGTTGACTTTTATCTGTGTTACTCCACTTTTAGTCTATTTGATTCAAGCATACTACACTTGTTTCAAGATGCTAGGTCAAGTATGTTTTATAATTAGTATTAATACACTTTCCATGTTACCTGTGCACACTTATTTCTAAAGTATATCACATTTCCTATATGTTTTTATTCAGACTAGTGATTGGAGATTTTTTTTCCTCAGTAAGAATTTTCACAGCTTATTTTGCATTTAAATTTCAGATGATCCAGGGATCTCTAAGGTATTGCTGCAGGATGATGGTGCTAATATATATTAAGTTTAAACAATAAAATTGAAGGATTTGAAGTTTAACTCTTCCTGTGCCATTTCACTGTAGTTCTGTGCCACATAGTAAATCCAAGTGAAATTTTTGACTAAAATGTTTTTCAATATAGATGCATTTTTTCAAAACCTACTTTTTCTGGAGGTGAGCATTTGTATTTAGTTTCATATAGAAGAGTATTAGGAACTTTCAGTATTCACTTTTTGTTCTAAAGTGGTATTTTTTCTCCAGTTAAACCAGGCAGTCTACATGCATATAATTTGCAAAGCAAGTTGTGTGAGACTGTCACTTGTGCACCACAGGATCTTTGTTAGACAGGCTAGAGCAGCATTGTTACCCTTATTTTTTTAGAAATAAAACCTGGGAACCAATCAGGCTGTGTGCAACTTGGCCTGAAGTAACACAGTGATGGAATCTAATCATCAAGTGAATGAAGTTCTTATAACTTTTATTTACTTCCTAAAAAATACCTTAACAGTTTATAGAGATTGTTAGAAATAAAAATAAAAGATTGAAACTACTTGGGTTCTGAAATATTTGTGTAGTGTCTTTTCAGTTTGTTTCCATATTAAATCCTTGGAATTATCATTTTCAAGATAATTTCTGGAATGTGATCTCTGAGGAGCCAAATTTACTTTTTGTATGTCTTTTGTATGTCTTTGTATATCTATTTACTACTATATTTCTAGCTCTTTTATACTGCAAGAGTATGTGTATAATAATAAATACCAGACTTTGGGAAATGGTGCCTATGTCATATTTTGTACATTTCCCCCCTCAATAATGTTCTTGTTGCCTATATTTATGTTTTTGATTTGTTTGAGAAAACATAGAGGCCTTATATACTCTGCTGATCTTTCATGATGAAGTGAGAATCAGACAGGCTGGTTGGAGATCAGCTATCTGTATTCTTGGTCGTTACTTTATTTCCTTGCTTTGTCTTCATTTTTCTCTTATTCTGTATTGCCTCTAATCCAAAATATACTAAAATCCCTAAATCTATTATATAGAATATTAGGTTTTTAAAAGGCTAAAAATGTATATTATTTTATAGTTAAAAGTCATACCATGGACATCTTGGAGTCTTTATGAGAGGAAAGTAGATTTATAGACAGTTTCATATGATATCCTTAGTGTGTTAAATAGAAATTCAGGCTTCTTAGTTCATTTATTAGGTTCAAGAAATTGCTGAACATTGCTCTTATAGGAAACTTCAGTTTCCTGCTGTGCTAGTCAGGTTTATATTCTCAACTTGTAAAGAAATTACCTTGTGTTGACATAAGATTGGAACCAAAATTTAAGAATTTTTCATTGTACTTACAAGAATAGTGGGAATCTTTAGGTCATTTGTTGCTAAAAAAAAATAAAATAAAATAAAAATTAGTGACAAGGACTTTTGAATATTTAATGAGAATTGCAGTCCCAAAATGCTTGTGGTAAAAATATATATAACCCTTTTGCTCTGTGTGGGAAGTCATTCTTGATCCTTTTAGAGGTTCTAAATTGGTTTATACTTAAGTAGAAATTGTTTTAGATTAGTCTTGAGTTAAATTGAATCAGTTAATAGTCATAGTTTTAAAGGTAATTTTAAGTGTTTTATTTCAGGATATTTATAAATTAATAAACCACCTACTCTAAAATTAAGTAATATAGGTAATGGAACATATGTCAGGTATTTTCTGTCTGTTCTACACCTATCAGAAAAAAGCCCAGTGCCTGATTATTGAAGAGTATATGAATGCTGATATTTTTAATTTGTGGCATATGAAAAACCCAGTTGTTCACTCATGTATTTTTTTCTTTTACACTATTGAAAACTGAAAAAACAAAAACAAAACTCTGAAATACCTGAGAAGAATTATTTCAAAACATTTTAAATATATTTAAGTTTTCTGTAGAGCAATTATCAGTGTTGTGTTTGATCTCCTGATACCTGGTAAAATAGCATATGATTATAAACTACATTAGCATTTACAGATGAGAATTTAATCATTTTAATTCAAATAGGATAACATTTAAAGGGAATTCATTGAAATTACAATATTAATGGGTATCCATAATATATGAGAGTCAATGACAAAATTTTTATATAAATGAAACTAATCTTTTGCATTCGACCTATTTCAAGAAAATGATTATCAAATGCAGATGTATGCTCTCTCCAGTCTCACCAGTTGATAATCCTGTTATTTTCCTAATAAAAGTTTATAACAAGCACTAGAATTATTTCAGACTTTTTTTATTGGCATGCATTTATGTAAAAACTTTTCTGTAGTAATGTTTTCTGCTTGTCTAGAGAATTCAGCAAGAATCCCCCACTCTTCCCTACACACAAACACACATACACACAAATTGTTGTTCAGATAGTTTAGGCAACATTCTGTTGGTCCTTGTCACATCATCAAAAGGGAATTTTGGAAGTTACCACATTTGAAATTCTTAAGCTGAAACCTCTGAGAGCTCCATTTTGAAAAAATCCCTAATCTTATTATTTTGCTTCATTTTTAATATCTTTTAGTGACAGCGATGAAGAAAAGAAAGCGAGAAGAGGCAGATCTCCCAAAGGAGAATTCAAAGATGAAGAGGAGACTGTGACTACAAAGCATATCCATATCACACAAGCCACAGAGACCACTACAACCAGACACAAGCGTACAGCAAATCCTTCCAAAACCATTGACCTTGGAGCAGCAGCACACTACACAGGGGACAAAGCAGGTCCAGATCAGAACGCCTCTAGTCATGCCCCTCAGTCTTCAGTGAAGGTGGGATAGCACTGCTTCACAGTATATATTGTTTTCACCACTTCACTGGAAGGCAGGCATTTCTGGGAAGTCATATTAATGATCATCTGGCATGTTTCACTCGGAGTTATTAATAGCAAGAAATCTCTTTGGACATGAAAGCTGCCCAGTTGCTGAGTGATTGTCTATATACTTTCTGTGAATGTAGAAATGACACTCTTGGTTCATTTGATAAAGGTGGCAACATCCTGTTTCGTTCAAGATGCCATAACTGGTTAACCCAGCACAAAATTCACAAAGTAAACCATGGTAGTATTTGGAAGTTGTAAGAAATGACCAAAAGGGTCTAAGTAGCAGTGTGATAAATGGTGCCTGTGAAGGGAGGGGTGGCTTATTTGCCTGGTAGTCATGGCTGATGAGCAGCAGCACTGCTTCCTGGACTTACTTTATTTGTTTCTATTCACCACAGAAATGAAAGCCAACTGCTAGCTACCTGGTCACAAGCTAGTCTTTGGAAATATGCCAAAGGGGGAAATTTGACCCATGGATGGAAATGGTTTTTATCACTTTCCCCCCACTGGTGTTTACCCAACTTGTCCCTTTGCATCAGAAATAGCTAAGAGCTAGGAAAAACATTTTTCTAATGTTTCCTGCAAATTGTAATAAACTCTAAAAGCAGAGTTAGTCCTACTTAGTGGCAGGGACGAGCACTTTCTCAGTCTTTGCCAAATATTTTCTGGAATGCTATATAATTTCATCCATATTGTGTGCTCTTTTTAGTTTTGATGAAAGCTTCACAATTGATTCTTTTCTTCTTTTGTGGCCCTGGTGTTTCCATGTACTGATGGCTGTACAGTATGTGGGAGATAAAGATAGTCAAGATTAATAATGTACACGTGTGATCACTACAATATGGAGAATTCATTCAAAGTTGCATATGGAAAATCATCCAAACTATCATCTTTATAAGTTGACATTTTATCTCAAATAAATATCAATTTGTAGTGCAAACTGAGCATAGGTTACTCTGCCAGTAACACTGTATTTGTAGTTATTACTGCAAAAATATGTCTAGAAGGTTAAAGTTCTTGAAAAGTTACTCAATTGTTTTCACTTTCTCAATCTCAAGACCTGTTTGAGCCACAGTTTAGAATTTTAATCTTCAAAGCTCTAATTAACTTGCCTAGGAACTTACAGTGTCTTATCATTGCCTAGCAGTTCTGTTGTGATATACTGTTTATGAATTGAATGAGCAGGACATAGTTATCAGGGTGCTGAGGTCTAGGGATAAGAGGAAAGATGTTCAAACTGCAGCTCCACAGTGTAGTTTTGAAACACTTATAAAACAACTGGATAGCTCGGTTTGTTAAATAATAGAATTAAGCTTAGTATTCTACTATACACAGTCACAGAATTGTAGAATTTTAGAAGTGACTAGTATTGGACCGCTAACCCAGTGGATCTCAGACCTTGGAATTATTGCAACTTTGTAAGGCTGTACAGGCCAGCATAACATTCTGAACAGGTTCAGCAGGTGTGATAGGACTGCAGTCTATATATTTGTTCTCAATACTGTTCTCAAGTGATTGTTGTAACATAAAACATGAAGATCTGTGTGGACTCTGAAAGTTATGTTTTCCAGAGTAAACTATAGTAAGAAAAGACATAGGAAAAAGAGAGGAATGTGGATGTTAGGGATTTTTACAGTGCTAGGAATAGAATTATTTTAATATATTGCTTCTTTGTAAGGATGTAAGGTTATTTCCCCTTTTTCCCCAGAAAATTTAAGTATGTCCTTATTAAGGTAATTGCAGGCATTTTATGTCTAAACTGGGAGAAGTGAATAGAGCAGATTTAGAAAAAATAGTAGAAATTTGTTTTCTCAGCTTGTTCCTTGTGTTTGTTCCAGACCTCAGTGCCTAGCAGCAAGTCATCTGGTGACCTTGTTGATCTGTTTGATGGCACCAGCCAGTCAACAGGTAAGCTTCCAGATCCATCCCTTTTTTTTTTTTTTAGTAATCTTAGTTTTAGAGTAATTTTTGTAATGCCAAGTAAAAAAAATGAATGAAAAATAAAATTTTTTTTTGTACAGGATTTCTTTTTAATGTGAAATTAATAAGACATATGCATTATTTGAAGGGAATTGTTTAATTACCTAAAATAAGTAAGATGGCACTTAAATATTTAATAATTAAGTGATCTTTCTCCTTAATTTCTATAGCAGTATTTGGTATTCTTTGCTTTATATGCAGAACGTACTATTCTGTCTGTGTACTGTCCTTCCCTCAGTCTTATTCTGTTTCTCAACATCAACCCTGCTTAGATCCCATAATTACTTGTTGAACTAGACACTGGCGTGGATGCTGGAGGTATGTTTTTTTCAGTAAAACAGTTCTTGCCCTCATGGAAAGATTAAATAGAGGAAGTAATACTAAATAGGTTCCTAGTTAGAAACATGCAGGAGAAAGGGATATTTTGTGACTTGACATATATCAAGAGACTTGAACAAAAGTCTCATACGTAAGTTTGCTCATATCTTCGGTTTGATTTACAGTATATAGATTTTGAGCAATTCCCTATAAACTTTTTCAAGAAGTATATTTTCTAGTTGCATTAGATGATTGTGGAATTCTAGTAAACTGTCCTTCAAGTCAAAACAGCTTAAGAATCACAACTTCTGTTTAAGGAAAATCTTTCCCAACCTGTTTTAGAGTTCATTTCATGCTCAAATGTAGATGTCACAATTTGGAGTATATAACTAGTATGTAAGGTGAGTCTGTTATTCCTAGTTGTGTGTAATGATTTTTAAAAGCTGCATTGTTTTAAAGTTAATATTTAAGTGGAAATCTCTGATGGAAATTACTTTTCATTGATAGTTTAGTACATGTAATTAATATAAAGTATATTATTTTCTCTGAGCCTATTACCATAAAATTCTTGAACTGGAAGTAAATTGATCGTGCATCTGGTTCAGACTAGGTTCTGATATTCTCTGATTCCCATCCTTTTTTTTTTTTTCTGTAACTTTAACTCTTCCTAAAATTATTCGTTAAGATCTATTGAGCTGTCATGTTCAAGATCACAAATGCAACTGCAGTTAGTTGTTTAACGATTTATATACTGTCACGTTGTATATTTAAGATTTTCACTGTGCTTATTAACTAGTAGTTATTTTATAGTCAGATAATAAAGACATAGTGTCACAGAATATCAACTATTTCGGGCTTTCAGTCATGAAATATTAAAGGGCCCCTTTTGTGCTCTGAGTAGAATGAACTTCTTCCTCGGTGATACCAAGATTTCTTTAAAGAGAGAATCATTGATTACCAGTATGCTTCTTTTGCTTAACACAGGAAAAAAAAAAAATTGTGGTTTTTCTTCTCCAATGCAAACAGAAGAATGACTAATTAAATAAAAGTAGCAATTAATGTTAACAAGGTAATTGAGACAAAGTCAATGTATTCTGAAAGGTTTCTTGCCTTAAAGTTTAGTTCATCTTAATAATCAAACAAATGTGACTTTTTTATATAAAAATAAAGTCAGAGTTATTTTTTAAGTTATCTCTTATTTGAAACAGGTTATGGAACCCTCTCCCCATAAATACATATACCTCGTTACCCCAGATCTCTATTTAAATATTTTGGTAATATATTTTTAGTTGAATCCAGCAGTAGAAAAAATTGAACATTAAATCTTTAGCACCTACACATGAGAAAGTCTAAGAATCTACTATATTAGCATTGCTATTTGGTATGCCATTTGGGTGTCATTTACCAGCTGTGCCTATGTTTATAATAGTACCATCGTGCAAGTAAGATGGGCATGAACTGTAAAGCTAAGCAGATACGGCATCTGTACCACTCACTAGATAAATCTCTCCTTAGAGAAAATGCTCCGATTTTCTTTGTGTGTATGTGTATAGTCTTATTAAATCCATCCTGTTAGTATCTTCAAAGGTGCATGTGGTTAAAATCATTGTAGAATATATATAAAGTTTAAAAATACACATTTGAAGCCCATCCACTGATGTTTATTTTAGACTGTTCTGATAACCTACTTTGATGGTGCTCTTTTAAAATATTGTGTTAGTTTTTACATATAGTACATGTCTAAGTAAACATTTTAATATATAAGTCATGAAGTGTAATAAAAAAATATGCAAATTGGAAATAGAATGCCAAAGCCTTTCATTTTACAGTGCATCTCACTTCTTTGAAAGTCCATGTTGTCTCCTTTGGCTTTTGGCAATTAAGGAGTATACATACGACTTGATTAACATACTTTACATAACTCATTGTTAGTCCAGTCAGTGAGTTTGAAGAGAAAATACACCATAATTTATAAAACAGAAAGATACTATTTGACTTGTAGTATGTTTTGAATTATCTTTGATTTGTTGACGTTGGAAAAGACTTTAAAAGTTTAAGGTGTTATCAGATTCCAGGTTTTCATCATATTTACATTTCAGTGTTGCCTGGTACCCAATGATCACTAAAGTTCACTGAGAACATTTACATAAATATGCACCACCTTGATATAGCATCTATATGATAATTTATATATTAGGATTTAGTTGAGTTGTATCTACTTTAACCAAGTTTATTAAAAATAAAACATTTTAACATTTTTTACTTACTAAAAGTGACACACACTGAAATTAGAAATTTGATGGAAAATAAGTAATTCATCATAACTTACATATAATTAGCTAGCAGTTATTTTACTGACTACCCAAATGTATCTCTTTTCCTTTTCCAAATTTTTCCTTTTAAAATGTAACAAATAAATTTTGGTGAATATGCTTCTAAGTACACTTTCTGAATAGTCAGTATATAACTGCCTTACCTTACATTATGTGGGTGTGGGTGTGTGGATGGATGTGTGTGTAAAGAGAGGATATATGGATGTCCTGTAACAGACTACCTCTTATTTTTTTTGCACATAGGTTTTGTTTCATTGGTTCCAATTTTTTCTTTGTTATGAAGTAGCAAAATAATATTTTTCAAAATCTTGAGAAAGAGGAAATAATAATTTAATTTTGCTTTTGTGTTTGACCACAGAGTCTTAATACTTCTGGTATTTTTATAGACCAGTTATAACTTGTCTGTTTATGGTCTTCATCCAGGTGGGGGGTGCTCATCCATATTGTTTTCTAAAACCTTCATATAATGAATTCTTTAGTGTATATTTGAGTTATTGTTTGCATTTTGTTATTTTAATTTTTTTATATTATAATCTGGATCAAATGCTTTAGAGAAAATCCCATTTGTAGTTTAAGCACTGCCTACTTAAGTTATATTTTTCCTGTTCACAGTATTGCTTCAGAAAATACAGGTTCCCAGCTGGTGATTGTAAATAACCTCCTTGCTGCCCTGAAAAAGCAGATGGAAATGGTTCATTTATAATGACAGCTCTCATGTGGGAAACTTAAAAGGATCACTCTTGTGGTGAAATTTAGCAGTCTTCCACATGCAGCAAATTTTAGTGCACTGTTATATTTAAATTCTCTTAGAAGTTATCTGTGAAAATATTAAACGTATAGAGTTTGTTGAATTTAAGGTATTAAAGACATCATGCATAGAGTTACATGAGCATGTTTGTATATGTCTGTGTGTGAGATGTGTCTGTGTGCAAGTATGCATGATGCAAGTAGTCCCTCCTAGGAAGAAGAAACTTCTTAAATAGAATTTTTTTCTAGATAGCTTTCAGTGTTGAAAGTTATATTCTGTAAAACCATAATCTCTGGTACTTCATAAGATTAGTCAAGCATTAGATCCTTTTTGAGGAAAGGCAGCTTCTGTTGTATAATACTCACGTATGTGTTCCATTCTGTACTCCCAAGTTTTGTTCTTATATTCATGTTGAAATCAAACTTCCTGTAGTTGAATGGAGAGGAAGACTATTTGTTACAGATAAGAGTTGTTAATATAGTTTAATTTCAGTTTCTGTGTAGAAGGGCAATAGAATAACCAAAGTAGGTAATTTTTATCCAAAATACTGAGTTCACTATATGGCAGAAGTATAATGTCTCCCCCATTTGCGGTTGTAATCTACAATAGTCATTGTTTTTATATTCAAAAGAATTTTTTTCATAACCTAAACTAGATAAGATGTGAAATCCCTAACTTGCTTGGCATAATAAATTACATGCTGATGTTTACTTACTGCTTGGAGGAAACAAATTAAAATACTCCCTAATTTTGAAGTCCCTTAATATTATAGTAAGTCAATAACTATCATTTTGTTCCCTAAACCAGTGTTCTTTGATCAGTTATGATTTTAAGTAACAACAGTGTGTAACATTCTTTTCCTAATAGTATTTACTAATATAGGTGCTAACTTATAGTTTCAAAATATAGCTCCTTGGTCTTTTGTTCCCCTCATTGTATTTTATCAGGCTGTCTCTATAAAGAAGAGAAAAATAACTATGATGTAATCCTTTAGATAAAGTGAAAAGGAGGCATATGAGCTGTAGTGTTGGTAGGAGTAGATGACTTTTGACTTAGGTGGATGTTCATAGTGGGTAAGATACATCTGAGTATGGTGCATCAATAATGAGGTGAAAGAATGAGGAATATACCTGCTGATAGTTGACTACAGTAAATGTACATTAAAAAGAAATATCAAGTACTCATGTATCAGAAACTGATTTGTTCCTTTTACCACTGCTGGCCATTTATTAAGAAGAGGAGATGGTTCTAGTTTAATTAACCCAGTTGAGAGTAGCAGATGGGGCAGAATGTCTTGCAGCGATAAGACAATTCAGAAATGGCACCAGATGTTGAAAGCTGTCCCTGGTGGTGTTTGAGTGCAGCCCAGATGTTCCAGTCCCACCTGGCTAGTTTCTAAGCACTGCGGGCTAAGCAGCTGTGATGTAACCTATATAATGTTCGCATAACACTAAAAGCACTATAATTGAACTGCTGCTCAAAATTTCTGAGGTTGTGACTCTAAGAGGTGAAATCTTTAAGGACAAGCAAAAACAACAACTATTTAAGATTTTAGTTTTGTTGCTATTTATTTCATTGGTAAGCAAATTAGAGAGATGGAATATTAAAATTTAATGTTGCTGTTTAAATTGTAGATAAAAATATTCTTACTCATGTATTTACAACTAAAAATTTGTATAAAATGTGATTTTTACATATAGACTGATTTAGACTTCACTCCATTAAAATGCTAGGTTGTAAATAACAAAAGGCTTTTATTTGTCCATGCATTAAAAATGTGCAAGTTTTTGCTTCCTTATGGATAAACAATAGAAAAATCATTCACCAAAGTCATTATTTTGACTTTCTTTTTCTTCGATTACTACCAAACTGATTTTTATTTAAATCAACTGCAAGTTTTTTCTTTTTATATAAAAATTCAAATAAACAGGAAAATTTGCCACATTGCTTTAGCTCCCTAATTCTTTGGTTTTTGTCTTAGTGCCATTTGAGAGAAAATTGCAAATATCATGACATTTTGCCCCTAAAATTCTTCAGCATGTATCTCCTTACAAGGGTATTGTCCTTTGACATTACAATGTGTTTTATGTTTAGAAATTTAAAATTTTAAAAACTGGAGTTATTGCCTAATAAACATACCAACTGCAAATTTCTCTGGCATCTCAATTATGCCTTTTTAAGATAACTAAAAGAAAAACAAGCCCAGTAACAGAGCACACATTTCATCTACTGTCTTGTGCTTTTAGGCTCCTTTAATCTAAAACAGTGTTCTTGTTTTTCATAATGTTGACATATTCTGAAGAGTCTTGGTATCTGTTTTGTAGACTATCCCTCAATTTGTTATTTGTCTGATTCATTTCTCATTGAATTCAGGTTAAATATTTTTGGCAGGAATGCCTATCCTTTCCAGTCACCTTTCCTTACAAGTCCCACAAATATGATATTGTCTGATTATTGGTGACATTGTTTGATCACTTGTTTAATACTGTTTTGTCCAATTAGTAGTGATAGTGAGTTCATCCATTGTTTAAGATGGTATCCATCTAATTTATCCATTATAAAAGTAATTTAATCTCTCTATTTGCTGAGTAACCTGACATTTTGAGACTTTTGATACTGTGTGTCACCTTATATTTGTGAGATATGAGTGAGGGACAACCAGCTACAGATTCTAATATCAGTAGATGAAGGGCTGAGAATGTAAAGTCTGAATAAAGGTCACATGTGATGTGAAAACTCCATCTAGCTAGCTTTACAACAAATAAGGGGTCTCTAGTACTCAGTGTTTTTTAAGTGTGTGCTAAAAGGGCTTCCTGAAATTGCTACTAGTTATTCTGTGGTTCACAGTTTAACTTTTTCATCATCATCATTTTCTAGGAGGATCAACTGATATATTTGGAGGATTTGCTGATTTTAGTTCAGCTGCTGCATCAGGCAACTTCCCTTCCCAAGGTATGATATGATCTGATTGGCTAGAAATCTAGGAGTATTAAATAGATTATCGACACAAATGCCTTAACCCTCAAATCCGTTGCTTTGGGGCATTTACTCATTGTAATATTATAATTACTAATTTCTAAAGAATTTTTCATAAATGTATTTTGTTGGGCCAGTGTCTTAAATGTACCAAATGAATTATTTTGGCTGCAAACTATTCACTGACACCTAAATGAAGTGGTCCTTATTGAAGTAACTCTTCATTTAACCTTTTTTGAGGGGAGAAGTTTATGAATTATAAATAATCTCACTTAGCTGCAAAAATATTATGGTTTATGGCTAGCTAATATGATTTTCATGGATGAAATGTAAGGACATTTGGGTTGAGGAGACTGTTTTACTAAAAAGCCATTTCTATGAAAAATAACTGAACTTCTTTTTGACATATTCCTAGTGAGCATTTGAACATTATGCAAAAGTTCTTCACTCCGTGTTAGAAATTTTAAATGCCCATTTATTGTGGTCATCATTTTGCAGTATGTTTAAATATTTGTTACCTTGTGCACCTAAAACTAACATAATTTTATATATATCGATTATACTGAGAGTGGGGGTGGGGGAGGAAGGGTAAAAATAACCCACTATCCCAGCAGAATATATAGGCTTAAACATCAAGGGTTAAGGTGAAAGGTTTATCTTTTTTCCATCTTTATATTAGTGGATTATTTTACTCCTTCTGCCATATACTATGGAACTTGTTCACTTTGGGAAGGCCTCTTCACCTCCAACTCTGTAAAGTAGGAATAATGCTACCTATCACAGTTTCTTATAAGGATAAATTATGTCTGTACAAGTGTGTAGAATAGGGATGACTTTGTTATTAAGTGTCTTCATTTTTAGGTTCTAAATGGGGTTGGTAGAATTTTTTGTCTGTAAAAACATTGAAATTAGAGAGGTAACTTAAAAATATTAGCTATAAGAAAAAGTGACATGAAGCAGAAAGAAAAAATAATTTAGCTAAATTAGTCTTGCTTCTTTCAAGTAGCTATCCTGTGCTATTGAATGAAAATATTTCTTTCAAAATGTTGTAGGATTTATGAAAGTATATTCATAGCTTTAATATGACTTAAGGTTACTCTGACAACTTGTGTAAATTCTGAGCATGTTCCAGAAACTAGAATTGTGAAACAATTAACTGCTGTATTTTGGAATTATAGGTATGCCTGAAAGGACTTAAAGTCTTACTGTGGGCAAATCAAAGTGGAAGATAAACGTTGCCCAGATTTTATAGACCATCTATGTTAATTCTCGAAGTTTTTATATATATAAAGTTGCCTACCATGCAGATAATTCAAATATGTTAATATTGTTAAGCAATACATGCCTTCACCTGTATGCATGATTAATATAACCTGATAACCATTAGGCAAAGGGCTGAAACTGTTACAACAATGATAAATCATTGCTGAACAATATATGCCCCACTAGAAATCTCCTTCTCCTGTGATTAATCATCTCAGATAAAGTTTTCAGATGGGGCAACACATTTTGCCCCAGTTTCTGTTCTGCTTTTTATAGACCAAGCAAATAGAAAACCAGCATAAAGTTTACCTTTATCCAGCCATCCTACTCAAACTAGTTTGAATTGTTTTATAGAATTGTGAAGTTCTTAATTTTAACTCTTTTATAAAGATCAAAGATGTGTTATAGAAAACCCTAAGGTAATGAATATTAGCTCAGTGCTAATTTTAAACTATTGGTAGAGTTTGGGGTTTCTTAATGAATTATTTTCTCTTTTTAAGTGTGCTCCCTTTTTAATATAGTAAGAGAAGATTATAGTTTTAAAGACTTAATGTTACTGTTCTTTGGCTGTTTAGCATAATGAAACTTAGGTTGTAGTGCTTGGTTACCTTTTAGTTTGATAAAAGGTATTTCTATGTTGTAAGTGAACATAAAGTACAGAGAAGGGTGTTAATTAACTTGAAAATACTGTTCGTTTTCAGATGACAGTTTATGTGTAGTTCTTTTCTCACCTTTGCTTTTTCAGCTACTGTTAATTCATATTTATCTATCATCCCTTTATGGAAAGGTTTGTTTATTTGGAGTCATGTACACCATAGTTTGAAAAACTTTTTTTAAAATATCACTTGCTTTTTAATCTTCACAACTCTTGCACATTTTTTAAAAAGTGAAATACAGGAGAGTTTAAGTAGGTGAAGCGTAGTGATAGTTCTCTTTTAGAACATTAGCATGATTTCCTGTTACAACCAAACACTTTTTATTTAAAAATATTGTGTAGTCCCATGTGAAGCAAATGATGTGTACTAGGTTTATATTATGACTATATTCCCTGGGTTGTCAATGGAAACAAGGCCAAATGAGTGAGAAATCTCTTTCCATAAAAATTTCAGGGTTTTTGTCATGCTTTTCTGTTTCTTTTGGTAAATTTTAATCTCACATGTATATTTTTTTTTAAGAGGAGAGAGTGTAAAATACAGTTTGATTTCTCCTTCTAAATAATAAATGAATGCAGTGATTTGGATTTTCAGTTTTTTCCTCACCTGAGGATTCTGGATCTTCCAGCAAAAAGTTCAACAAGTTTTATACTACCTCCTTTTTTCATTGGGGTCTCAGGCTAGTTCACATTTGCTTAGCTGGAAACATGTTCGATATGCAAACTTAGGTTAAAGAAAAGTTTTGATTATAAGTTCTATCACCTAAAACCTGCCAAAGGATAGATTTTACTTCATATGTAGGAGTTGTTTTTTGTTTTGTTTTTCTTTGCCATATAGTTAACACTCCTGGAATATTCATGAGAAAGAATAATTTCCAGGTGGAAATGGTAATGTAGATGTTAACCTGGATGGACACAGTTCAGTTCTAACTTATTTCAAAAGTTTATAGATTATTACATTCATTCTGTGCTTTTCAGAAAGTGTTTTACCTTTATAGTTCTTTCTTTCTCAGTAACTGCAGCCAGTGGGAATGGAGACTTTGGTGACTGGAGTGCCTTCAACCAAGCCCCACCAGGCGCCATTGCTTCCAGTGGTGAACTCTTTGGCAGTGCCTCCCAGTCAGCTCTAGAACTTGGTGGTGGCTCACAACCAGCTCTGGGCCCACCTCCAGCTGCCTCAAATTCTTCAGACCTGTTTGATCTGATAGGCTCTTCGCAGGCAACCATGACTTCTTCCCAGAGCATGAATTTTTCTATGATGAGCACTAATACTGTGGGACTCGGTTTACCCATGTCAAGATCACAGGTAAGTTGTCTCCCTTCCTCAGATATTGCAATTCAGAATCTGTGAGATACTTTAAATAATCTAACAGTAGATTGGCACAGAATGGAAAAATAAGTGAGCACAATATGTTCCTTTTGCACACTGCACTAATCTTATACTTTTATCCCTGGTAAGATCATTTGGGTTCTAGAGGGCAAGGTTTTCTCACCCAAGTTGTAACCCATGTAACGCTGTATGTGCTTCCTTACTTATAGGAGGCATTTGCTAACAATTTATTGAATTAAGCAACTTGGCATCTAATAGTTTTAAAAAGTTGTTTTTATGGCCCTCCCTGGTTGCGCAGCGGGTTAGGAAGCAGCACTGCAAGCTAGCTGCAGCCTCTTCGATGAGAGTTTGATCCCTGGCCCCGGAGTTGATCCACAGGATGCAGCAGACCTCCCCTGTCTTGCCTGCTGCTCCCCTCAGCAATGTACTTCATACATCTGCCTTTTCTGATCCCCACTCTGTCTCTGGTGAATCCTATCACCACCCCTGTATCTCTGGCCTGTACCCCAGGTCTGAATGCATAAATAAATAAAATTTTGAAAAAATTTGTTGTTTTTAAGAAGAAATAGAGACTAGAAGTATAACTTCACTGAGGGCCAGCATACTCTAAATAAGATCACTTGTCATGTCCTGAAAGAAGTGTTACTTCTTGGTTTCTAACTTTTTTTTTTGCTAAAGTTTTAAGTCATTTTCTAAAATGGTGGACATTTGGCCGTCCTAGTATGCTAGGTGTTTAGTCTTAGCACTTACCACCACAACAGCCTAAGCTGGATGCCCGGCCAGAGAGCTAATCCTATATGGTGCAGCAGACCTCTCTTGTCTCACCTGCTGCTCCCCTTAGTATATTTCAGTAAATCCGCCTGTTCTGCTCCCCACTCCGTCTCTGGTGAATCCTCTCACACACACCCTACTCCCTGCAACTCTGGCCTACACTCCAGTTCTTCTGTGCAAAAATAAATCAAAAATCTTATAAAAATTAATTAATTAAATGTTGGACACTCTTCCTTATTCTAGACCTACTCTATATTGTATGAATATTATATAGGATCTCTGTTCAAGTTCATTTTCATGAAGAAAAACCACTAAATGGGAGCTTTTTAATTCACTGCTTTAATAGTAAGTTCTAAAATACCTTAGAATTTGCACAAGCCCAGATTTGGAATATCTGTGTCTGAGTTGTACAGAAATTTCCTATTTTTCATTAAAACTATTGAGAATGTTTTTATATGATACTAATTATTCATTTCAGTATGTAGATTTTCCTCTTTGAGTGTTAGGATGGAGGAAGAAAAGAAAGAAGCAGAAAGGTGACAAAGTATACCAAACATTGGGGGTTACGCACCAAGTCTATACAGATGCCACTAAATTAAACCGCACCAGTTTATTTTTTGAGTTTCTATCCTGTGATTTAAGCATAAAGCCAGTCTAGTTACTTTCTGACTTTACTATAACTGTGTTTTGATTCTTTGCATTGGTACATTTTCAGTTCTTCCACGTCCTATTTCTTTCCTTTTTCATAGTTCTCCATAGTCACTACCAGGCACTGCTGCTTCTTTCTCCAGAACTGGTCCACATATAAGAGCTTCACTGTGTTGATCACTTTGGGTAATTGATGTGTACATGGAACAGGGAGGTATCATCAGATTGTATGAAATAAAATTAGCCAATTTGTCTTGATGGACTCACTTATTATAACTGACAAATTATATTCTAAACTCCATTTAGGATATCTATTTGTATATTTCTTTAAGTCTGTACTAACCTGTAGTTAATAGTTTCCCTGTGATGGTGACTTCTAGACTTTGGGTGACAGGATGATAAATGTTATTTAATGTAACATGTTTTTTCTCACCTCAAATATGAATTGGATTTTAGAAAAACATCTTGGACAGCTAGTGATTCAAGATGTTGAAGACCTTAGCATAGAACATTTTTGGTTCTTTTAGGTTCCCAGAGTTTATAAAATTGGTTATAGTTTTAGAACTATTATAAAATAAACTACCATTTGATAAACTTTCTAGAACACATGCTCAATTTTTAGAGCATTTTTCTATTTTCCAGCCTTTGCAAAATGTTAGCACAATGCTGCAGAAGCCTAATCCTCTCTATAATCAGAATACAGATATGGTCCAGAAGTCAGTCAGCAAAACCCTGCCCTCTACCTGGTCTGACCCCAGTGTAAACATCAGCCTAGACAACTTACTACCTGGTATGCAGCCTTCCAAACCCCAGCAGCCATCACTCAACACAATGATTCAGCAACAGAGTAAGTTACAAGACTATCCATTTCTTTGTGTGCTTGTCATCTTTTACCTTGATGTTAGGACTACTTCAAGTCATGAAATAAAAATACATAACACAAACTGCCAAAGGTGTGGTCACCTCATATCAAACTTGAGGTCCCTCCTAGTACACTGACATACTTAATATTCTCTTGGTATAACATTTATTGTATTATGATGAATTTGGAGAACCAGATTGTGAAAATAAAAATATCTGTTGTAGAAAAACTTTTAAATGTATGCATGTATAAAAATCATCTGAAACAAAAATCATCTGCACTCTATTGGAAATAGTCACCATTAATACATCTTTCTTTTCCAGCCATTTATTTAACATTCAGATGATTTTGCCTGTATTTTGCTTCTTGCAATCCTCATTCAGGGTTAAAGTATGATCATTTTTCTGTGTTCAGTATTCTGAAATAAAAAGATTTTTAGATGTTCAACTCCATCTTTTTGCTATTATATATTACTCCATGATTTTATATAAATTCTTTTACTTGTGATTTTTTCTCCTTTAATATAATATCCTAAAAATAAGATGAATCAGGGCTCTCCCTAGTGGTGCAACAGGTTAAAGCACAGCACTATGATGCTAGCTGCAGCCTCTGCAGCATGAGTTCGATCCCCAGCAAGGAGGTGACCCACTTGACATGGCAGACCTCTCCTGTCTCATCTGCTGCTCCCCTCAGCAGTATATTTCAGTGGGTCTGCTTGTTCTGCTCCCCACTGTGTCTGGTGAATCCTCTCACCCCCCACACCTCTGGCCTGTTCCCAGTTCTTGCATGCATAAATAAATAAATCTTTTTAAAAAAAATAGGGAATCAAAGGGTATAAACATTTCAAGATTTGTGATATACAATAACTCTTTACAATTTATTAGGTCAAATTCAACAGTAGACTTTGAAAGGATGATGTTAAATTGGTTCATGTTTTCCCTAGCCCACTCTTTACTGTTTCTGCATTTTTGGAACACCAAAGTCAGAAGCCACTAAAACTACCTCTAGTAAACAATGCCGGTGCATTGACTTCTCTTATAAAAATCACTGTAAGGGAATTTTATTGATGCATAGAAGTACTGGTGACAGGGGTGTTGTTTTTCTGCTCTGTGAATAAAGCTCTTCATCTCTTTTCTTCTGGTAGATATGCAACAGCCTATGAATGTGATAACCCAAAGTTTTGGAGCCGTGAACCTCAGTTCTCCATCGAACATGCTTCCTGTCCGGCCCCAAAATAGCCCTTTGATGGGGGGGCCCATGCCTGTGAGCATGCCCAGCGTCATGACTGGTGCCATGGGTATGGCCCCTCTTGGAAACACTCCAATGATGAACCCGAGCATGATGGGCATGAACATGAACTTAGGAATGTCAGCTGCTGGGGTGGGCCTGACGGGCACAATGGGAATGGGCATGCCCAACCTAGCCATGACTTCTGGAACTGTGCAACCCAAGCAAGATGCCTTTGCAAATTTTGCCAACTTTAGCAAATAAGAGATTGTAAAGGAGCAGATTGAATGAAGGATTTTTAGTTGTGCAGAAAGGTGATGTTGAGATGGAAAATGCTAATCGACTCCCCTTTCTTTTATCAATTAATTAAAATAAACCTACATAAAGAACCAAAAAGGCTGTTTTATAAAAGTGAAGTACATAGTATTCCATATGGCTGGTCCAGCGCACTTCAGATAAGGCAGTCAGACCATCAGAGCCATTTTCCCAGTGAGGATAGACCATAAGTGGGATTGTGAGACCATTAAAAGCCTTTGTAAAATCAAAGAGCCCATTTTAACATCATAATTTGTGGGAAGACTGGAATAGAGCTGAATAAATGTTTGAATCTCTAATTTTATACTTTTCTTTTCCTGAGGAACTTGATTTTCTGTCCCTGAATTGCCTTGTCATAATTGGGTCTGTTCCTTTTACTACCACTCTTGAGTCCATATATGAAATCATTAAAGTTGGATGATCAGTTTTTTATAAAAATATATATTTTTGTCCAAAAGAGGCATACATATGTGATTAAGGCTAAATCAAAGGTAACTGGAATGTATATACTTTTGCTAATGTTCCAGCAACACTGCTATTCTACTGTCCAAATTTTTATTGTAACAAAACCTCTTTAAGCAATTGGTGATAGCTGTGGGACTTTCCCCTAATTTCTGCTATAATTATTCCATGCAGATCTAGAAAAAAAAAATATTTTTTTCAGGACTGCTGTATGGTTTCCTTTAAAAGAAAAAAAAAAACCCTCCAGTATTTTCGGGCGTTTTATCAGTTGTCATTTACAGTTTGCAGTGATGCAGTTGACAAGGCTTCCTTCTGTGTTTAATCCCTGTACCACACCATGTAACTGTCCCCAACAGTTGGAAGAGAAAAATATTTATTTTTATGCTTTTAGTGTCTTTTCAAAACATTGAAAAGGTGAAAATCCATTCAACCCTTAAGTTAAAGGTAAATGTTAGAAATCAACAATATTGGCTTTTAGATTTTATACAGTATTTGTTTTGTTTTGGTTTTGAGTGTATATAATATGGCATTAGCAGTATGGCCCCGATAGAGGAATTAAATATCTATTATTAAAGGAGACCTGTAGCAGTCAAGAGATTTTATTGATTTAATGGCAAATAAAGGAAATTAATTAAACTGTTTTTGTTTTCCTGCTGTAATTCTGCATTAAGCTCACATGAAAATCATGATTCTTGAGTTTGGAATGCAAAATTGTTTCACCCTCAAGCTGGGAATATTTTTTAAAATAAATACTATAATATAGGTTTCAAATTATTACCCCCCCAACTTGTGTTGACATTTTTTTTATTAAATTGATAAAACTTTGTTTCCATTGTATTCATAATGTTCTGTTATATGTAACATTAAAATGTTCATTAAAATCAATGTTGAACTGCTTTTTCTTTCATTCTGTTAGATATTTGAGACCATTTGGGGAAAAAATAATTATAATTTGGGCAAAGTAATTTTTATAAATAATTTAAAATTATTTAATGACTTCTTTATTCTTTCCTATTAGACTCTACTGTTAGGAATTAAAAATGAAGCAGCAAAGATATCCTGACCTGCTCCATTCCTGCTAATGTTCCATCTACAACATTTCTAATTAGGCAGAAATTCATGTACTTCAGCTAAGTGGTAATGAAAAGTGATTCATTTGCTGAATAAGAGATGAGAGAGAGTGTAATTAGCTGACTGTGGTTTTTAATCTTTCAACAATTCAGTGTGTTTAAATTAGTTTCAAAGAATAGGGGCTTTCAAGTGTTGTTACTTCAGAGCAATCAAGCCAGGCTATGGTGGCAGTCTGGAGAATATCTTCACTGATACTTTAAAGACAACATCTTAAATGGATAGTTTCTTTAAATTGATAGCGGTGTTTAAGATTTTCAAATACATATGGCTCTTGGATGAGGTAAATGTTTTGTTTCTGAACTTTTGTGTTTAAATTTTCTAATAAAATTTATCTTAAGTAATTCCGTACTATGCCTTCTTCCTGTGTTGGATTCCTGAGACAAAAAGAAACCCCCATTTCAGTTATAATTATACCTCAAACTCAAAACAAGGAGTTTGCTGTCTTATTGGTGTTTCTTGTATCAGAACCTGTGAAAGAGGAACAAGAATTGTCTCCTTGGAGGTTCACCCATTTAAATGACCCTTCTTAAGGGCTTACTGAGTGATACTTCAAAGACCTTAAATTTTTGGAGTTGGTTTGAGAATAAGGTATTGGGCTTCCTCCAGACCATCACATACTCCTTCTTTGTCCTTTTCAACAGCTCCTATCTGCTTGTTCCTCTGCCCTGAACTTTGAGTGGGGAATAGGTACTGTTCTAGCAATCTGTTATGACGAGTGAGTCTCCAGATGCATTTTTGTTTCCCTCTTGAGGTTTTTAAATTCTGGTAGAATCTTCAGGAGCCACAAATATACATGGTGTTATTATATGGTACTTTGGCTCCTTTTCTGCTTAAAATTTTAAATGACAAGGCTACTGATTTTGGGGTATGCACTAATAAGGCCTGTGGTTTCTCTTATTTTGAAGGAAAGGTTAATAGTCTCAAGTAGTAGTCAAACTAGTTTAACCTTCCTTAGGTAATTTTAAAGAACTTTTCCCTTCTTTTTAGAACTTTAGTCTCATGATGGTCAGTCATCATGTGCAATTTTCTAGCTAAAATAAGGCTATCCACAAAACACCTGCTATACAGATTCCTGAAATGCAGGGGCTTGTGCTCAACTCTAGAGAGAGAGCACTGCATGTGGATGAACCTGGACTTGGAAATAACCAGACTGCCCCATGTTACCCACTCAGGGCCAAGACAGCCATGATCAACTCACCTGATTTCCTGGGCCATGATGATACATTGTTTAAAAAATGAATTGATTATCTGGAAATACTGGGTAAATAAAATGAGTGGCAGCTATCAGCTACATTTATGTGCTGTAAATGTTTCTTTCCCTATGGTTTTTATTTTTATGTAAATGTGCTTACTCATCAAAAACTTTCTTTGTACCTGACACTGTTAAATACTTCACAAGCATGTCTTTTAATCTACACAACAAATGCAAATGTTCTATTCCTGCTTTACTCCTATTTAGCAGAGTAGTTAAGAAAGCCTGAGAGACTGTTCTACTAAGTTGACTTCTAATTGAAGATTTTTCTATCTGCTTGCTTTTTTAAAAGACAAGGAAACTAGAAATAAGCTGTTTTGTGAATGCATTGACTCACATAAGCACATTAGCGCAGCTTTGACAACTATTGTGAGCTCTTGCTATGGTATTTGCCATAACAAGTAGGCCCAACTAGAGTGTCCAGAAGCCACAGAGAGTTTTCCTTTCCTTTGCAGTTTTAAGTAAGACCTTGCTTGTCTCCTGAAAACAAAAACGTCCACAAAAAGGGTTTGTTTACCTCTAACTGCATATGCCCTTAATTCTTGTGTCTTCTTTCTGTAACTGTGGCTTCCCAGTGCATGCCCTGTGCTCAGACATCACAGGTAGTCCTGGCACCCCAGTATCTGCCTTGCTGACACAGGTGGGATGTCCATGTGTGCTGAATCAGATGCTTAGCTTCCAGGGATTTACAGGGCATTGAATAAACATGGATTCCATTTGCTGTTCTTTTAAAACAGATGCCCTCACTTCAAGTAACAATTCAGGAATAAGAATTCTACATTTCATTCCACTGGATTTTTCCCTGGCCGTACAGCTTGCAGTCATGTTCTGTAAATGTTCCTGAAACACAATGTCTTCATTGGTAATGAGATGAGAGCTTAGAGTTGAAATGTGGAGCAGCTTGGTCTCAGGATCCCTTTACACTCTTAAAAGTTACCTCTCGCAGGCCCTCCCTGGTGGCACAGCAGGTTAAAGCACAGCACTAAGAGGCTGAAGCCACTTCAACATAAGTTCCATCCCTGCCCCGGAGGTAACCCACATGGGGCAACAGACCTCTCCTGACCCGCCCACTGCTACCCTCAGCAGTGCACTTCATCAATCAGCCTGTTCTGCTCCCCACTCTGTCTCTGATGAAGCCTCTTACAGCTCCTGCACCTCTGGCCTGTTACCCAGTTCTGTATGAATAAATAAATCTTTTTTTTTTTTTTTTAAAGTTACTTCTCGCAGCTCTCCCTGGTGGCACAACTGGTTAAAGCACCACATTATGAAGCTCTCCATCTGAAGACACTGCAGCACTAATTCGATCCCCAACCAGGGAGCCGACCCACATGGTGTGGCAGACCTCTTCTGACCCACCCGCTGCTCCCCTCACCAGTGTACTTTGTCAATGTGCCTGTTCTGCTCCCCACTCTGGTGAATCCTCTAACCCACCACACCTCTGGCCTATACCAGTTCTGTAAGCATAAATAAATCTTTTTTTTAAGATTTACTTATTTAGATATACAGAACTGGGGTACAGGTCAGAGGTGCAGGGGGCACTAAGAGGATTCACCAGACAGTGGGGAGCAGAATAGACAGATGAAAGAAGTGCATTGCTGAGGGGAGTAGCGGGTGGGTCAGGAAAGGTCTGCCACATCATGTGGGTCACCTCCGGGGCTGGGAATCAAAACTAGCACTGAAATAGCCATGGCTACCTTGCAGTGCTCCATCCTAACCTGTTGTGCCCAGTTTTTTTTTAAAGTTACCTCTCACTACATTTGAAATAAAACCTGAGTAGCTTAAATGATAGATTTTACAATAACAAACCCATTGCTTGTGGGTTAGAAAGTGATAAAGTTTTATATAAAGCTAGTTTTTCAAGATAAAAATTTGTGAAAAGAGGCCTTCCCTGGTGGTGCAGTGGGTTAAAGCACAGCACTAAGAAGCTAAAGCCGCTTCAGCATGAGTTCAAACCCTGCCCTGGAGGTGACCACAAGGCGTGACAGACCTCTCCTGATCCCTTGCTGCTCCCCTCAGCAATGTACTTTGTCAGTCTGCCTGTTCTGCTCCCCACTCTGTCTCTGGTGAATCCTTTCACCACCCCTTCACACCTGGCCTATACCCCAGTTCTGTATGCATAAATAATCTTTAAAAAAAATTTTGTGTGTGAGAAGAATAGCATTCTTTTGCATTTTAAAAAGTCTTACCTGACTTAGTAGCATATAGCTGGATCTTCTGACCTGCTGCTGCACTCAATCTGTGCTGTTGTCCTTGGGGAAATATATAGGGTCTCTGATCATCAGAGCATTACTGTTGTCCTGTGAGAATTAACAGGTAAGAGTCAGTCTGTCCTGGTAACTGCACCTATTTGCTTGATATGCCAAGATTATCTGCTTGAAAGAAAGCATTTACTCTGACTTCTTGTCTCACTCAAAAGCAAAGTGCCTGTCACATGAAATTGCCTTCTGACTATTAAGCAATAAAAATGGGCGCTTTTTTAAAATAATGACAAAAAGAGAAATGAAATAAAAGATTATTCAATATTTTGTGCATCTTTACTAGCTTTTATTCAGAAATGCGGTTTCTTACCCATGATGGCCTTTTAGAAAAGTGTAAGGTGAGAAGGGGTGCCTGGCACTTACACCTCTGCATACTTTTAAGAAGTACTTGGTGATGCTGGCTCGTGCACTGAATATGGTTGGAGCTCAGAGTCACGAAGAAGCTTGGGAGACAGCAGAGGTGAGGGATAATAGGTGTTAGGGTACAGTAGCCCCTCATGTCACCAGAACCACCAGAGACAGCATTTTCTGGAGGCCCCATATGCTTTTAATACACAGCTGTCCAAGGACTGACTTAACAATTTGGGCTTTAAAAACCTTAGGGCCATTTGTAAATGCAAGTTGAGTATTTCAAACATTAGCTCATGTTGCATATTACAGTTTGCAGAGAACTCAAGATTCATGCGCTACCTGATCTTTACCATAGCCCTGAGACCCGCACTATCCCATTAGAAATGAACAATCCGAGAGAGATCAAAGCAGCCATACAGCCAGGTCTTAGAAACCCTACCCATCACCCTACCATCCCTCATCACTCCTATATTAATTTGTCAGACCTTTTAGTTTTAAAAAAAAAACTGCCAATCTTGTGCAGATTAATTGTCAGCTTTTTTTCCCTTGCTTATCCCAGGTCTCAGCACATTTTCCCAGATGCCATGTAATGCTGCACACATAGTAGACAGCTAGTAAACGGTTGTTAACTAATATGTTTTTAAAGTCAACACTGAATGTTCACGAAATCTATTTGCATTTTCTAAAGGTCACCGCAAGAGAGGAGGTACAGAGCAAATAAACACTGATCTCTTCTGAAGAGTAACCCTTTTGTTTGTTTTGTAGAAGCAGTGATATAATTTAGCATGAAGACATTAGCCAAATCTGGAAAGCAGTTTGCTGTGACACAAAGATTCCTCCAAGCACAGGGTGAGAAGTTTAAGAAAAGCCACAGCAGAAGTGGGTGGCCATGGGCTGTGTTTGAGGAACCTATTCTAAAAGGACACTGTGCTATTTACTAAGGATGGTGGACTGGGGAATTCTCTGCTTGCTTCTGTGATTCTTGTATTTGAGAAACAGAACTGAGATGCCTGACCACCAAATAAAAGTAAAAATGGAAATTCCAAATTGAAGGAATATGCAAATTGATGTTTTTAGAATTGGATTTTAAAAGGGCATTTAGAAATATCTAGTAATTTGAAAACCCCAATTTGGTGGCCAATAAGTGAATTTTTTTTTGCAATTTTTTCAATGTTTTAATAAAGTGGTGATGGAACTAATTAAGCTGTTTGGGAAGTGCACCCCTTTCTTGAGTCAGTCTCAAGAACCAACTTGTCTGCCCATATAACTAAACATGGAACACAGAGTAATCTTGTTTGGCTACACAGAGTCTGACTCAAAGTAATTCTTGGTTTCTCTTCTTTTTTTGAACTATCTTATTTTTTGAAAGGGGAAAATATTATTTTAATGAAAAATGAATTTGGAGATAGAAGTTAACAAATAAACTTTTTTCAAATAATCTTT